CTCTACACCCACCATACGAAATACATCAAATGCTTCAATCTAACATTGTGAAATAGCAGAATGTGTGAGATGGCAAGTGTGGCCTTTTCCCGGTCTTTCCTTCTATAACCGGAGAATTTCTTATAATCGCCACGCTTTTACTAGAGTTAGTACTCTATTCTGCCCACAAGTCTTACCTAATCTTAGTCGTTTCTGCCACCAAACAGTTAATGTACACTGCAGTGTTCCATCCAATCTGAAGTATAAATATAATTAAAGGTTTATGTCATGTTGGCCCTCAGAGGTGACAACGCATCTGTAGCCTTTTTTGCTTGAAGGTGGTTGCAGGTGTCTAGTGGGCAGGCAGGCAGCTAGGAATGAGGTGGTCTCCACCATGTTGGTTCTATTTAAATTCATGAAAAATTTGTACAAACAAAATAATTGTAAAGTGAAATATGTTTTTAAAAAACTCCCGTTGGGTTTCTTGTTACTTTTTCCCAGGACAGAGGTGTTTTCCGAACCAGTGGTTAATAAAAAATCTATGACTTTTAATAAGTATTATGTAATAATTTACATTAAATAAAAATTATTCTATTCCACGGCTGTTGAAGCTATTTACAATCAGGTGGTATGTAAGTTCGATTTAAAAAACGCTTGTAAAAATGCTATTAGTTGTCTTGCACGGACCCTGACTCACGTGTTGAAATAAAAGACGTATTGGAGATAATCAAATATATTTATTTTACAATCCTCGTTACACTGCCGCTCTGCAAAACCTTCGAGCTGCGGCATCGCAATTTATTTGGTTGCGTACCTTGACTCGGACAAACTAGTTTGTGATACTTGATAAACATGTTGTGTTGGCTAAACTATTCGATCGATTTCTCATGTCAGTTACCAATATCTGGTCAACATTTTATTAAAATGGACCAATTTGGCAGTTTAATTAGCATGTAGTGTGCACAAATGCTAATGTCGGTTTGAATGCGAAATCGAGCGAAGATAAAACATTATTCCGCTAAGTTTCATTTATGTACGAGCAGTCTACTCAATACATTGTAGAAGAGCACCGCGCTTATCTTATACTTACAGTTCCAAATAGCTATTAGACATAATGCCAAAATACCCAAACGCTAATCAATTTCAATATATCGTTATCTCGTTGTGTCACAGTCACTTTGACTTAAAGTGACAGAGACAGAAAGATAGAGACAGAACGAGGCTGAACGACATCTTAACAATTTCCCTGTTTGATTTGCAGACACAATAGTAAGACAATAAAAATGACAGGGAAAGGATTAAAATTGAGGAGCGTTTAAATATGTGAGCAATAGTCTAATAAAAGAATTCGTTTAATAATGTATAATCATAAATCTTTACAATTGCGTACGTCCAAACTTTTAAGTCTTTGGTTTCCACTCGTACATAAAATCGTCTTCGAAAATCCACTGAGGGCTAATAATGTTACGCTCACCAGGTGTCGCCAGCTGGAATCGAGGTGAAGGTTTTTGTTGCACAGCGTCGTTTGATTGAGAAGTTGCGTTTTTAATAAAAGATTGTGGGTTTCAAGAGTAAGTTAACTTAACTTAGTGCCTTGTAAAAAGATCACATATTTTTACCTCTTTTTAATAAATTTCTACATTTAGGAATATCCATAGATACAAACTAACATTCCAGCCAAGTATTCTCCTCATTTCCAAGTGGCACCGCTCTGGTGGTAAAAAAGTCGCCCTCATCACAATCATTTCATATCTAAACAATTTCGCTAAACTTACACAGAATTTACAACACGACAACATTACACGGATTCGAACTTAATAACCTACGGTCCAGTGCATAGCACCGCTCTCGATTAGAAAGACTTGAGCAGGGGATATAAATTCATAATTACAGCGCAATCGTCCTTTAGCGCACTACTAAAAGTGAGCGAGGAAAAGGTCCCATTGTAAGGAAGACATCTAATAAGAGATCAAATTAACAAAAATTACCACCGACAAATCTACAACAATGAAGAAAAGTCTGACTTAGGATCCATTTAAAAATTCTTAAAATTTTAATCAAAATGTGACCTAATATTATTTTCGATGGTACAGCCAACGTCAAATTAAAAAAAAAAACTAGAAATATCTAAATAATCTACTTTATGACACGCACAAATTACTGGACTTGTACCCTCCTGCATATCCTCATTACGAACTATACTTTAAATTAACTAATTAGAGTCGAAAATCCGATAGACGACCGGGTTATTTAATACAATCTAAATATGGTTTGTAGTGCACTAATAAAGATGAACACCGATTATAATTGTTATTTGGCATTACATCGAAATTTTAATATGCCCTAATACGATATGACACGTCTAAAAACAGGTTTGCACTCCTCGCATTAGAGTCGACAATGTAAAAACTTAAATTAAACTTAATAGGATATAGCGAGGCGGATTCCGCGGCTGGCTCGCAAGTGTGGAACCGGGACAATAAATTAATGCCGCGTTCACACAGCTAATAGACCTTGAATGTAACCAAAATTCAAACAGTACCTCAGTTTTAAAGTTCCCCAAATAGCAACTTTCCCATCCAATATGACGATGGTAGTTGCAATGATAAATTGTTGGAACATTATATTAGCGAATTACTGAATTACAAGGTGCTGTATAATTTTGATCCATCCGCCATCTTAATCAGCAATATTGACCTAAACACAAAATTAGAACAAGTTCGGCTGAGCGTCATCGCTTCAGATATAATTGAAATGACTTACGCGCTATGAGTTTACATTAAACTATTACACGGTATAATAAATTTCCTAATACTAAGATTACAGTATAAATGCATTCCAATCTCGCAGACGTGATGTATGTGATGCAACGGCTATAAGGTCCAGGCTGCCTTAAAAACTCAATTTTCTATCGTTTAAAACTATTTACTGACACCATTTAATTTGATTTAATCTGCCAAGGCAATATGAACCTAATTCCGCTTTGTTACGTCTACTTACAACCAATTTCCTATATTTAACTATACTATCGAAGTTTCGTATTCACAGTGTATATATATTGTATATAATCTAAACAGTAGGATAAAACAAAAAGAATCTTTCAGATTTAGAAATCAGATTTGTGCGCCACAACCCGCGCTTACTACACAACTACAACTTTTACAACGAATATGATAAAATATTTAAATTCTGAAAAATCACTTAAAGTCAAGTCGACCGCTCACATCGGTCACATAATTCTAGATCAATAAGCCGTGAGCCCCAAGAAACACTTATATCGTCGAAAAAAAAAAAACATACAGATGTTTATAATACTATCGTGCTACATACGGAATTTTGTGATGTGACTAGGCAAAAGATATTCATCTCATATAAAGATTGAATTCTGCCTGTGACCACGGCTAAACCAATGAATGTATACTCGTATGTCATGGATCAATAGGGCATTATTCATAATGTCCAGACAGTTAGAAGAACGTCCAATAATCATATTGCTTTACAAATAAAGTCCGTTACTTATTGGGCACAGCAGTATGAATAGTGCCCTGATTAATCACTTGCTCCATAATACATAAGAGGAGGGAAAGCGGTTTACGTTGACCACCTGAGTGACTAATACGCCAAATACGGAAAAACCGGAGAAAAGAACAATCAATCTAGAGCAGTTCTCCAGGAAGTGGCTTCGCTAGGCGATGTACCAGTACACGACATAAGTCATTTGGCACAATGGCACGGCCTAGCGGGTGGTGACCAGCCACGGCCGGAGCCGACCACCAGTGAAGTGCCAAGAATACGAAGTATATGATAGCGATGGGTAGAATTTTCGACAATATAAGCTTCATCCATTAATATTTATATGAAACAACATGACAAAACATCAAGTGTATAAAATATTGGGCAGTCGTATAATGGCTGTTACCATGAGCAATTTTACTCTCGTACGTATCTACACGGTTTTTTCTCTCAATATGACACAAAATAGGTACACTGTGACAAGTACACAAGTACATAAGGGCAGTGGGCCCACAATACGAATATTATCATAATATGTTGATCAGCTAAAATCTCAGACAACAGACTTACGTATACTGTTATATTTATTAAGTATGCTACTTGAAATTCATTCGTAAAATAAACCGTTCGGTTTTACACTTTCACTGTCCGGTTTCCAGACACAATAGTAAGATAATAGCAATGACCCATATGTGGGTCACGGGACAGAGAACGTGTTAAATATTTTAATCCATTTCTTGTTCATTCATTCGCTCGTAGTCATTCACTTTTTCTTCGTTATTACATGTCTTCTACACATCAAGGAGTAATATTTTATATTACACATGAATATGGTCACGAAGAGGTGCATTAGTATTAAAGTATTTCATATAGTAATATCGAACATCGACAAGGTTTGAATAATATCTCGCACATATTGAATGGCTCCTTTGAATGTATTCTATAATTCGCCTTATAATCTAACTTTTAATAAATCTTTTTGTGATATATTTCCTCTATGATATGATGATCTAATACCCTAAATTACTGGATTAATAAAAAAGGGGTTAAATAAGTAACTTATTAGCGGAGATGTGAGCAGTAGTAACTCAGGTTTATATTATAAAACCTATAATTGTCTCTTACAGTTTTAGATCCTTACTACATTATTACTGTAAACTAGCCAGAAAGTTGCGAAGAGATAAATAAATTGAGTTGAGTTGAATGTTCAGAAGCACTTCGACGATTATAACAAAAGTTCAGTGAGATTCCGCGTATACATGACACGAAACTATTTGATCGAATGAATCAACAAAACTTTGCAATGGTAAATTTCATAAGATTCGTTACAATATATGCTGCATCTATAATAATTTTGTTTGTATTACACTGGAAAAATACTCTATAGGGAATCTAGTTGCTCCTGCCGGGAGTGGCTTAGGATTGTCTGCTGCGTTGTACTGTCGGTCTGTTGCTGGCGACTGGCTGCTCAGTACCTCGCCACGCCGTCGTGATCCTCGAGCGACAGCTTACTGTCTATCACTGGACAGATAAAATATCATTTATAATTTAAAAAAAAACATAGAATAGGTTAATATAACAAACGAGCACATAATCCACCTGACGGTAAGTGAACGCTGTGGCCCATACACATCTACATATATCCTCGATTAAGAATCAAAATGCGTTGTCACCCGTGAGGACTAACATAGAATGCTCGTTTCCAGTAAAAAGGGTCACCGGTTCTACACTCACCACACGAAACACAGTAGAATTAAGCTGCTATTTTATGCTGGAATTCTTTGAGAGCGTGGTCCTTCCCCATTCGAACGATCCATTCGTGCTACAACCATAAAATGACAACCTCTATCATGTATAAAAATGTCATAAAATTAGTTGTTTTAATAGTATGGGGCCTCTAAGCGAATATTCATGTTAGGCAAAGTGGTAGGTACTAAAGATCACTGTATTGTGCATGTTTAGTTAATAATGCAGCATTTTGCAGTTGTTTTCATACGGTAAATAATTTACAGTGCAGCCTTAAGATTTTGACACAACAGATTCATTTCCACGAACAGTATTACAAGAATATGTTTATCAATAAATATTTGACAGTTTAAAGTGAAACATTTATATCAGTTCTTTATTGTAAGGAACGAAGAATATTTCTAACATTTTAATCAATATTAACTCCAACACATTTTCACAATAGAATTACAACTTGACAGTAGACAGCATACAAAAATTAGACAAGATTAGACAAGATACAAAAATTAACACAGTTGTTTTATACGTACGTAACAAGTACGACTTAAACTGTTTAGCTGTGGCATCAATTATGTCGAATATTTGTATTCTGTGAAACCAATCTTCGACCCATCTCTGATTCTTGAGCCTGCATGTGGAACTGGTGTTATAAAGAAGCGGACAGTACTTACGTGGGTCCGGGATAGTAATACGGTGGTGGTCGCTCGTACTCAGTAAGGCCGTGGTAGCGCGGAGGTCCTTCCTCCCAATGCCTGAAACCACCACCAGTGCACCTCAGTCACCGAAAAGATCCCATGTGAACGTAATGATATCGAGTTTTATAATTTCTTATACTTGGATACATTGAATAAAACTTGTTGTAAGGATTTTATTGCGTTTAATTTTAACCTTTCTAATTCCCGAAATAAAGGGTTCTTTACAGCACAAATGGTCACTGGGAGGGGGGGATTGAAGTGTTTGACGTCCTGATGTCAAAGTTAACGAAGACTACCATCATTACCGTGACCGGTACCCGTAATCATGGGTGCTATAAAGTGTTAAGAATTAAAAAAAGTTAAAACTAAACGCAATAAATCCCGTAAAATTAGTTTTATCCGATCTATTTATATTATAATTTTTATAGATATTAGTTTTATCTAATTATTCACGAATTTGTGTTTGGATATTAAATTTCTCTTGTACTTAGAACTTTGATGCGATTTTACTTGACAAATACGAGTGCATCAATATTTGTTCATGGTAGATGATGCTGTCATAAGTTACTGAAGTATGAAAGTAACAAAGATGTATTGTAACTGGCGTGCTACAGTGATTGTATATATAGTGCTATAAATAGTTGACAAACAGTTGAAAAATAGTTGAAATAAGTAAACAAACTACATTAACTTGATGTTACTATTGAGCGTATCAATATAATTGATAAAGTGGTAGTTGATACAAACATCTCTAGTTTGCTAATCAAGGGCAAATAAAACTGCAGATTTAGAAGTAATTATCAAAACTTTCCATCCCTGTTATAACGATCGAAAATAAAGTGATATATTTTTATTGGATACAGACTGTGGCGTAGAGTGGATATCTCACTCTTTACGCCACATCCTGTATGTTTACCGTGTAGTGGCGGTGTAAGAATATCTACTAGCCCATATCATCCCGTGGGTGTCGTAAGCGGCGAAAGAGAGATAAATCAGGAGATGGGAAGCAGCGTCTACGTTACAGCAGATACGTTTGTATTCTATAAGCTTTATTGATAATTATACAGTGAATATATGAAGAGTAGTAACGTTGTACCAGTTCTGGCGCACTGAGTCAGAAGTGGTACAAGAGTAGTTACGTTGTACCAGTTCTGGCGCACTGAGTCAGAAGTGGTACAAGTACGACGTTCGTCGACTCACGATCCTAAAAAAAAAAGGTTTTGGCATGCTCTGATCACGAATCTGCGGTCCATTTTTGCGTAGGATGCACGGTTCCGGAGATGTGCAGATCAATTAACTCTTATCTAATTGATATCCGGTGAAGGCCTCCACCGTCATTAGCGCTCCATTGTTCTTATCTACTTATCTATTGTTCATTGAATACCGTCATTATCTATTCTTCCTCAGCGTGGTGCTATTGTTCTCCTTTGTTCCTATCTACACTAATCTAACTCATCAATAAAACACATTACCTAATTTTGTTAAAATTTTTATTTACAAAATACAAAATCTTATTACTTATTATCTATAAAATAGGAGCGAAACATCTCATCCACTAAAATATCGTTGTACAATGTGTTCCCTGTAAATATACTCGTAAAACTATGCATTGAACATCCCTGAAACTTATATAGCAAATACATTAAGCAATATTCGCCACAAACTGAAGTCCACTCATTCTGAATCCTATCAACATTCCAGTTCCATCTTTTACAATTTCTTTTAAAAAACTCTAGATGATATCGTACAGGTGCCCGTCCGAATGAATCAAAATATTGACCGACGTCATTCGTATCGATATAAAAAGCTACCCAATGTGACCCTGGTTTATCATCTGTATCCAAATTGCATATTATATACGTTGGTACGTGGGTGTACATGGGTAGTTTATTGGCAGCATAAACATTATTTTCTAGAGTGGGGTGAATCTTTTTCAGATGTTGTTGTACATCTAGTGTATCCATAATATTACTGCTATTAGTAGATTATTACAGTACCAATCTACTCAATGACTAATATAGGAATGATCAATTATAGTGATTTCATAAATATTAAATTGCATTCTTTCTGTTATACAAAACGTATTTGAGTCATCAATACACTGAACAAGACACGACAGGAAGGACGAAGGAATGTTGAGATAAACAACAGAATGTGAGATAAGCTTGTTGACGCATAAAGTTACTATCAATTCTACTGCAGAAATTCTTTAGATTAGAATTATTACTCACTGGTACTATATAAGACCAAGCAACTGCAGTCATGGAGTTAGTGTATGGTCGTTTGACCGCAGTGGATCTATCAATACTACATTTGTGTTACTTCAACGCATCAAAGGCCATATATGTAAGTGTTTATTCTATTGACAAACTTACTTTTCTTTCTGTTATTTTCTTACGTGTGTATGATTTAGTGTTAACAAATTATATTTAAATATTATGTGTGTGTATATGATTAAGCCGTGGTAGCTCAGATGGTTAGCGCAAGCTGTAAATTTCACAGTACGCGACCCGGGTTCGATCCCCGCCGGCACCAATTAAATTGTTAATTGCAATTTTAAGTGTTTATTCTATTGACAAACTTACTTTTCTTTCTGTTATTTTCTTACGTGTGTATGATTTAGTGTTAACAAATTATATTTAAATATTGTGTGTGTACCGCATCTACGAATACTAGAGTAGTTAAAAAATACTTTTTTAACAATGACAGTCATTAGTTGATCATTAGTAAATGTGATTCTGTTCACTTAAATTACAGGAAGACAAGAGCAGAAGGAAGAAATGGGATGATGGGAAGTAATGAAGCATTGTTATGTGAAATTTGTTGGAACAAACATATTTTTAGTCACGTGTAAATACTTTTAACATTTTGGTTCAAAATGACACAAAATCTAAAAAATATTAGATACATCATCGACATGGACGGATTTTACATTACATATCCTCATAAACATTTTCAATGTAGAGAAATGGCTATTCTAGACGTAAAACTATCTAATAAAAATGATGCGTTTATCGATCATTATTTGTTTCGGCCAAGTTATCCTTTCAATTATTTGTCACCAAAAGACAAAAAAACTGTTCGTTATTGTGAAACACACGTGCACGGCATTCCATATTTTGATGTGACCGAAGAATTAAAATGTGCCTACAAACAAGAGAACATCATCCCCATATTAAATTGGTATATTAGAAATTTGTGCAAAGACGAAGTGATCGCATACAAAGGTGGTTCAACAGAAAAAACAATTTTTTAAAATGTTGACGACGAATGATAGAATTTTTAATATTGAAGAATACAAATGTCCAAAATACAACGATTTGGTAAATGTCATAAATGTTTAATATGACAAACGTTATGTGTGTAATAATCATATATTTGCAAAAAAATAATCACAAAATTTTACATTGTTCTTGTGACGAAGTGTGGGTTTTTTACAAGTGGTTATTGCTTGAAAATAAAATTTTCAATTAATCATAAATTTTGTTTGATTTCCCAAAAACATTAGTTATAGTACACAATATATATTAATTTTTTACACCAACACTTTCATTTTTTATTTCACCCCTTAGAACTTTAGACGTGTGTAATGTTTCACTTTATACATCCGTTTACTGCTATTGTGGCAGGACCAAGTGGACGTGGGAAGTCAAATTTTGTAACAAATTTCATAAAATCAGTTACAGAAATATGTAATTGTGATTTTAATCAGATCACATGGTGCTTTGATGAAATGCAACCTTTATATAATTTACCAAATGTTAACTATCATCAAGGAATTCCAAATCTTAATATGTTTGATGGTGAAAACCCACATCTCGTTATTATTGATGATCTAATGAGAGAGTCCGATGTAACTTTAAACTCGAACAGTGTTTTGATGAATATTAGATTAAATAGAAGATTTATAAAGAAATAAAAAATAATATATTGCATAAAATTTGTTTTATTTAATTTTATAACGATTTACATAGTTACATACACACAAAATGCATTACACATAACTCATAAAATCTAACACACAACACAATATTACAACCTTAACTACTATAGTCTACAGTAACATTTCTGTTTTTATCTATCTCAATAATATTATCAAACTCAGCATAAACTATACAGTTAATTGTTTGTATTAGTGAGGATTCAAATCGTACTTCTAATCTTACACTACCATGCTTTATGAGAATCCAATGAGCTGATGAGTTGGCTGATAAATCAGGAGTTAAGTCAAATGCTAATAGACAGTAACCTTTGGCATACTGTTCACAAGAGATTCCATTTCCTTCATTAAGAAAGTGAATACCAGTTCCCGAGAATAGAGTATGATATGCTGATGTAAATATACTATTATTAAAAGATGGTTGCAAAGCTTTTGAAGGTATTTGTTGACCATCAATAGATAAGCTGAAAGAATTAATATCATAGTTTTCAAAGTTAAATGGATTTTTAGTAAGGGAACCATTAAATGCAGAATTGTTCACAAATCCAATTATACATCTTTTGGGTACCTGTCCTAAAAATATATTATCAAGAGTTTTTCCTTGAACACCCGATGGAATTGTTAAAACTTTTACTTCAGCTCGAGTAATAGGATATTTAGCAGTGGTAGAAGCTAAAACTTTTTGATGTGCGAGTAATACACTTGGATTAACTCGTGCTCGTCGAACAATAAGAGTTGCGTCCGTAATGCAAACTTTAAACTTTACATCGTTTGACCCAGCAATTAAATTAAAACTCTCTCTTGATCGAACCAATTTAACACTCATTTCAACACCATTAATTAAAAATTTATCTTGGTTAAAAATGTCACCGTGAAGATGACCAATCATTTCTATTTCCTTACTTTCACTAATCAATTCCTGTCTTTTAACAAATCCTATGTTTTTACCACCCGTAGAATCCATTTTTCCTACTGTATCATCATACCAAAGACTACAAGTAAGATGAGATTGTTTAGCAGCAGGAGTATAGTTTAAAAGGGTTTCCATGTATGCTCGATATGCATAGGTATTATTAGGTGGTGATACAAGTTTTTGGTTTAAATAAACATCAAGTTG